ATGAAAAACAGAACTGTTTCTACTACAGTTTCAGCCTCTGTCTTGCTAATGGTGGACACTTCACTTAGTCTTTCTGGTTGGCACTATGTCATCTTTAATGGATGATAATCTTACCATCTTCTCTGAAATTCACTTCTCTATATAAGTCTATATGTAACCCATCATTCTGAAGTCTATATCTAGCTGCTATAGGTTCTTACTGTTCATTCCATTTTTGCCATTGAATCTATTATCTTTTTCTCATTAAATTGCCTCTCTATATCTTCCATATGCAATGTTTCACAGAAAGGAATAATACTTTTATTTTCTTATTTACTTTTGCCTGAGAATATTGGAAGATACTAATTTCAGAGTAAAAAAATATTAACTCTCATTGGATCATTTTGTGATTGTTTCTATAATTCAGAATTGAAAGAAGGAAATGTGTTATTATTGAAGGTGAAATTGAAGGTGATTTTCTTCTCAGATTAGAAAATTACTTTATATTTATGAAAACACACACATATATGTATATGTGTTTCATGAGTATATGTGTGAATATATATGTATCAAATAATTTTCAGGGTTCACTAGGACAGACAAACCTGTAAATGGAAAAGGCAGAAAGACAAGCAAAAAAACATGAAAAAGTGGGTATATGAGGACCATGTTCATGAGTGCACTCATTTTTACAGGGTTGGGTGGAGATGACTGGAAAATGGTTCAGCTTAAATGAACCCTAAAAATTGGAAATCCCTTCCCAGTCCTCCCCATTCTAAGTCTCATGCTTTTGCCCATTTTGAACTTGTAATTTTCAGTACCTAGAGACTACATAGATACTGATCCTCATATGTCACCAAGAAAAACCAAAAGAAAAGGTAAAAGCTTATTGCATGCCAGCACATACATGATATAAGATTACCCAGAAAAACATGCTATAATAGAAGATATAATTTATTGAGTCTTCACTACATGTGAAATGTTGTACAAAGCATTGTGCAGTCACTATCATATCTAAACCTCACAACACTACTATAAAGAGAAAATTATTACCCTTACACAATGGGAAGGTAACTAAGGCTCAAAGAGATGAAATAAATGTTTCAGTACTACACAGATAGTAGTAGAGGGTCAGCGAAAGG